CAAAGCTTAGCAATGAAGTAGAGAAGAAAAATGTGGAGAATTAGATGTGCCCAGCTCATGTTTATACTTGGGCAAAAAACTAAGAAATAAATGTGTTGATAGATTGTTTTAGATAGAGTGGGAGAAATAAATCTCCAGTATGGGAGACATCTAAAAGAGTTGTGAGAGATACAGAGAGTTTGCTCTGTTTGTATAATTTGTTTGTGTGATTGAATAAAAGTTTGTTTATTCATTCCATTCCTCACTTTGTGTACCAACACAATTGGGAACACACCCCTTCCGCTTCCCATCAGTCATCCTGACAAAGGCCAACATTGAGCTAGAAACATTTAGATGGTTGCCCATTGACCAACACCGAAAAGGTTATAGTGGAAAAACATCGACTGACTAGTTGAATACACTTCTCACTAAAACCAGCCAAGCATAAAATCTTAACCAAGAAAGACTAGTTAATCCAATCATAGGCCCTTTTCATGTCAAGTTTAAATCTGAAAAACGATTGCTTGTCCCTCTTGTGTTTACGAATGTATTCTATAACCTCACAAGCCAATATAACATTATCATAAATGAGGCAACCCATCACAAGGCATTGTGATTGTGTGAGATTAACCCTAGTAGAACCAACCTAGTTCAATTGGTCTTGGTTATTTTAACCAAAATGTTCATTTAAGTAGGCTTTCGTAGTTGTTTTTAGGAGAGATTATTTGGTAGTTTTGGAGCAATATTTTATACGATTCATCACCTAACATGTATTAAGGGTGTTCATGGGTCAGTTTGGTTTGGCTTGGTAAATTTAGAATCAACCCAAACACAATTGGTTCTAAGTGGTTGGAATCAGAACCAAACCAATAATTAGGAGTGCAACTCGGGCAGGTTGGGACGGGTTGAGAGGTTGTTCAAGCCCAACCCAAGTTGTGTTAAGAGTTGCTCAGGCTCACCCAAACCCGAATTGTAACCTGAGGTTGCCTACCTAAGCCCGACCCAAGTTAAATCCAAATTGCACATAAATTTTAGTTTTTTTTTTTTCCTTCCATTTTTTAGTGCAACTGAGTTAATTAATTTGATAAAATTTGACTATTTACGATTTTTTTTATTTATAAAATCATTAATAATATAAAAAAATTATATAATGTAATAGAGATGCCGTTATGATGGTTTTTACAATTTATGAGTGAGACAAAATAAATAAGCAAAATTTTGTATTGTGAATCTAATGATCTACATTACTTTAATATCATCTAATAGCTAATAATTTAGGGGGAATTACTTAGTAGTGAGACAGGAAAAAAAAATTACAAAAACATTGAGAGTGCAACTGATTTTTTAATAAGGTGCAAATAAAAAACTGTAGGGGTGCAAGTCTTACCCCTCCAAGTTTGTTTGTTTGTTTGTTTGTTTTTGTTTTTGGTTTTTTTTTTTTTTGTCTGCCCAAATGATCAAACGATCTAAATTATTTTAATATTATCTAATGCCCGATAATTTATATATATTCAATATATTTATATACATACATATATATATATATATATAATATTTGAATTTTTGGTTATTCGAGTTGTTTGATATCTTTGCCTAAGGCTGCCCAAATTTAACTCGGGTTTCTAAATTTTTATCCAAACCCGTTCCGAATTTAAAAATATTTGCTCAAGTCCTAAAAAATTTCAAACCAGGGCTTGGGTTGAGCCCACCTAAGTTGCAACTTTGCCAATAATTATGCAATAAAACCCACCCCTGACCCAACCCAATGTAGCTCGAGTTAGTTTGTGTTGGAACCACGGTTCCACTATATTAAAAATAAGTGATTCAATCAACAATAAATAATTAAAATAAATAAGTCTTTAACATTTAAATATAACACAAACAAAGAGTAAAGTATTATTTAATGCAGCATCATGATCATGTGTTATGTATCAATACATGCATATGATCATGATGCTGCATATGTAATATGTTCAAAATGGTTTCGCATTTCGTAAAAGGTTTTCATCCGTTTCAGTGACTAAATCCAAACATTTTTCATTAAGACAACATTTTCTCACATTCATTATAATTAACCCGATGAAACCTCTCAAGTACATGTATATGTGAGTTGTGCTCGCTAAACACTATCTAAACTAGTGCTCTATCGGAAGCAACACTCTACTAGTGGCCATTGCTAAGCGTCACCTAAACATTACCAAATTTATTGATTTCTAACTGGAATGAACTTGGGACCTACATTGAGCGGGTTTTCGATCTTTCACTGTGACTATTGAGCCAAATTATCTCGTTCTCAATCTCATCTATACATGATCCGAATACACCATTTCCATTCAATTTAAACCATAACATTTAAATGATATAATGCAACTCATTCCATTAATCAATTTTGACAAAACGTATTCAATGCACTTCTGTTTAATAATAAGTTTTTATCTCATGAATTCAACAATTCATAATGCATAAAAATAAGTTTTTGTCATCCTAATGTATCAATCTCTACAATAATTCCATTCTCTACCAATGACCAACAACAATCTCTAACAATGATATAATTTCATAAATTATACAAATTCATCTCCAATTTCAATATAACACTATCAATTTCTCATTTTGCACAATTCCTCATGCACTTTTATACAATAAAAATAGGTTTAGTAAGAAAATTATAGAGAAATACTTAATTATTCTCAAACCATAATCCTCTGCCATGTAATTTCTCAAACCTCTATCAATAACTCAACATTTGGGTATTCAAAATACCACATATACATCCATAAACCCATACTAAACAAATGAAAGGAAAAGCCTACAGAAGGGGGGAAAGACGAAATTTTGAAATTGCCTAAATCAAATTTTGGTTTGGATGAAAACATAACCCTTATTGAGCTCTGCAATGTTAATACTAGGGTCGAAGATTGGTTCCAACTCCAAGGGCTCCAAATGGAAGATTGAAGTTGAGAGTTATAGTGGAGAGAGAGAATGCAGAGAGAAGATATATATATATATATATATAGAGAGAGAGAGAGAGAGAGAGTGAAGAGAGTAAATGAGGAAAAAGGGAGAAATGTGCTGAAATAGAAAAAGGGGGTCGTAAAACACTTGCCTGAGAGGCTACCATGTGCAGCTTCTCAACCTTGGCTGCATCTGCAAAGCTGGTTGCCGCATGTGCGGAGCCTCCTTGCCACACGTGACATGCTCATTGGCTGCACCTGTAGTTTTACGCAGTCCAAGTCTAGCCCTGCCAACCCTTGCCACATGTGCAGAGCTGGTAGTCGTACATGCAGAAAGAGCCACCACACGTGTGGGGTTCTGCTCAGCAAATTTCATACTTCCTGTACCAATCCGCTTGTGCGGGACACCCTCTTTGCACGTGCGACCGCACCAGGTGAGGTTTGATGGATTGTATTTCAAGTCAAGGGTCCAAAAGTGTATCGGGGCATCTATGGCTCCGTTTGGGAAGAAAAAAGCCAGGTTTTTTTGGCTAAAATAGCCACAAAAAACAAAATAGGCTATTTTAGCAACAAAAAACAAAACATCAAATCCAACCCATAATCATTACAATCCTCTCTTACAAAAAAAGCCAAAAAAGCCAAAAAGCCCAAACCAAGCTAAAATAGCCCAGACTAAAATAGCCAAAAAGCCAACCCACTTCCCAAACGGAGGCTGTATATGTAGGTTCAAGTCGGGTTTAAGACCTGAAATGCTACATCATTATAGATAATAAAAAAAATATTTATCAACTATAGCGATGATTTTGGAGGCAAATTATAAATTTCAAATCGCACATCAAACTAACTCATAGTTAGTGGGCGAATCGATGCTGATTGGGAAGTATTTTGCACATACTTACCAAATACCGACCCAATCGTATCGGTTTAACGATTTGAAATCCCAGAACCAAGCCAATGCACTTAAAAAACCAAATCAACCTAACCCAAAGAGATCGATTTGATTTGATTCTTCAGTTCACTTGATAATTTAAACACTCTTAATATTTATCATGTTGTTTCTTCTAAACTAACACACAAAATTAGGACCTACTGTTTTTATCAATAGAAATCAAGTTAAGAAAACACAGATATTTACCCAAACATCATAATATAATTTTTTGTAATTGAACATATTATACACTCTCTTCCATTGTACACACATTGATGTTAAAACTGGGAAAGCTTACTTTTCAAACATTCTTAAATACTTTTTACTTATTTTCAAGTGTTTTTTGAGATTTTTAACACTTCGTATATTTTGGACTCTTGTTTTTATTCTTATGTGTAATAGATAAAAAATAAAAACCAATGATAAATGTTTTTCGTAGCCAACAAAAAAGCAAACTTATTTGGATGAAAAACAAGAAAAAATATCGTTCCAATTATAATCTTACCATATACCACTATATCATTGTCGCTACCACTACTACTACCGCTCCACTACAACCTCCTCCAATATATCACTATCGCTACCACCACTACCATTATCCCTCCACTCAAACTATTAATACAATCGCTAACATGTAAGTTTCAAGATTGTAACTAAGGCGCTGTTTGGGAAGTGGCTAAAGAGGCTATTATAGCCTAAAATGAAAATTTAGCCAAAAAGCCCACTGTTGCAAGCTTTTTTCTTTTAAAAAAAAAAAAAAAAAAAAAGGCTGCACAGCCGGCAGTGTAGGCACAGCCTACACTGTCAGCTGCAGAAATTGTTCCATTAGTGCATAAATTACGATTTTACCCCTTGACAGCAATTTAAAAAAATATATTTTTAAGGACAAATTTGTCATTCTAATTTCAAACATCATTTTAACACATTTTTCAATACAACAACTCAAATAAAATCCATCTTATCTTTCTAAACACAAAAACCAAAATAGTCTACTAAAATAGCCAAAAAATTAAATAACCTATTAAAATAGTCACTTCCTAAATGAGGCCTACGTATAGAAAAATATTTTTGGTAAGCTTTTTTTTTTGGTCAAAACAAAGTATAACACATTCTACATATGTTTCTTAGGAAACTTTTGGTCCCATGATCACCACTTAAATTGTCTTTGATGGTGGTATTTTAAGACCATGAGCCTCTAATGATTCCCCAAAATTGTGATTAGAATTTTCAGTGTCCTGACAAAATTGTGGCCACTCATTTTGGAATGTATGGCTATAATGTGTCGACTTGACCTCTCCAGAGAATTCAAATCGCTCCCGAGCGTCTGATGGTTTCCAAAGCTCAACTAACGATAAAAGTACATTGACTACATGGGCCATGTTGGGCCTCTGTGAGGGGTTCTTTGTACAACAATGACCAGCCAACTCAGCAACAGTGTTGATACTCACAAGTATTTCTTCATCAAGATCAATTGTTGGGTCGATAGCTTTTTGGAATGAACCTCTGTAAATACGTATTTTACGAAACCATGTGACGAGATCAATGTACTCATCCTGCTGGGGCTCAAGTTCAAATACGGCATTTCTTCCAGTAATCAATTGTATTAAAATTACTCCGAAACTAAACACATCAATCTTAACTGTCACTCGTCCCGTTGCTGTCCAATCATACAAAAGATTTCAAGATCAAAAGCAACTTTTATTAAAAACCAAAAAAAAAAAAAAAAAAGTACCAAATGCAAGTACTTTTGAACTTATATATTTTAAATCCTAAACTGTGTTGTCAAAGTACGACTTTAGATTTAAAATTGTGTTTCAAATGGACTAATGTAAAAAATTCATTAATTAAGATTACGCATTTAAAACAAGATTTTACTTTTACTTTGAAATCATATTTTCAATACCCAACTTCCAAGAGGAACATGGGTTTGAAAATATGTGCAAAGATTTTCGGTAATGTGTATTTAAATGTTGTTTGAAATGATTTAAATAAGTGTAATTTTTAATTTTTTATGAAAAAGCGTAAAATATGAGTTAAGTTTGAAGTGATGTGATAGAGAGATGATATGATTTAAATGAGATAATGTGACTTAAATAGGATTGTGATTTTTTAACTTTTTACTAACTTTTTTGTATTATGCCAAACTAGGCCTTATTAGGAAATCATTCTTCAAATAGTTGTACGTCAATTAATCCATAATGTATTTTTGCATTTTAACGTGTCCTATTATTTAAATATTTGATCTATCAAATCATAATTCTCATATTTAAGGTATTTTATGGATAATTTTACCTTTATAAATATTTTTTAGATCCTTAATAACTTGAATATTCACATTGACAATGTAAATGTTCACATTACAAAATATTTACATTATCAATGTGAATATTATTATTATGAGTATTTAAGTAACTATATCACCCATAAAACTTATTGAAACATAAGAAAATAATTTAAACGAAATGAAACATAAAGAGGTGAAGAGGAGTTTATGAATAAATGACCCTTTCAAAGGACTCAACTTTTGTTTAAAAAAAATTAATAATAAAAAAATCCAAGATTTCAACATGAGAGCCAATATAGATCCCCCAAATATATATAAATATATATGTACACTACCCGAGCTATTTAAATCAATTATCCTGTGTCGGAAACTCAACATTGGACATTGGTAAAGTGAGTGAAATTGTTGTATAAATGCATTACAATAAGTAAAAAATTTTTACCGTACATTACACATAGTACTCAAATAAAAATATAAAAATATGATTTTATTTTGTTTTGTTTTATTTTATTTTTTGTGTGTTTGTGCGCGTGCAGAGTTTCATATATTTAATTTTGAGATTGGATAAATTACACTAACACCCTCCTGAGATTTCTGTTTAATATAGATTTTCCTTCACATTTGAAAAATTATATTTCCCTCCCTGAGGTTTGTAATCTCATTATAAATTGCCCTCCTGAATTGTTGATATCATGCCTTAAAATTTTGAATAAATTGCATTGACACCCTCTGAGATTTATGTTTAATACAGATTCCTTCCTCACGTTTGAAAAATTACACTAATACCATTGTCAGATTAAAATGCTATATTTATCCCTTGGCCTTTCTACTTATAAAATAATAAAATAATGTTAATATTTTATTCATGCCATTTCAAAAAAATAACAATCATCTTCTTTGGTTTAATTCACACAAAAAAGTGAATTTCTTTATTTTTCATGTTTTATTTATTTTTATTTTTACTGAATTTTTTTTTATATTTTAAGCATTTTTTTATTTTTTAGATACACCTAATCTAGATATACTTAAGAAGTATAATATTTTGTGATTTTGAAAAAAAAAAAATTTATCACGTACAAGAAAAATATAAAAATACAAAAATTCAGTAAGACCGTAATAAATGTAAATGGCGCTATTTGATAATACTGAAATAAATGTGGGTGAATAGATGACAAAGAAAAATAATGATGGAAATAAAAATGAAAAATTCTATTAATATATAAAAATTTATATAAAAAATATCATAAAATTATTTTGATAGTGATGTTGTAAATATAAATCATGTTTATAGGTGCATTTTGTTTTAAAGTGAAAAGTCACCATTAAGCTATATCATTGTATTTAAATCACTCAATAAGAATATGTTCAGGTAGAATTTAATGATGAAAAATTGTAAAATATAATCATGATAGTGGGGAGAAGAAACGGTAAAAAAAAGAAGGCAAAATGGTCATTTAAAAAAATTTAGGACATGACATCAGGTATCCAGGAGGCAATTTGTAATGAGATTACAAACCTTAGGGAGAGGGATGTAATTTTTCAAACACGAGGGAGGAATCTGTATTAAATAGAAGCCTCAGGGGGTGTCAATGTAATTTATCCAAATTTTTTCTAAATGACTATCTTGTCTTTTTTCCTACCATTTATTCTTTCTATCATTATGACTACATTCTATAGCTTTCCATCATTAAATTCTACCTGAACATATTTTCATTGAGTGATGATATACAGACATAAATTTTATATAGAATTTTCAACTACAATGATATAACTTAATGGTAACTTTCCACTTTAAAACAAAACACCCATAAGCATGATTTATATTTACAACATTATCAATATCACAACATTTTTATGATATTTTTTTGTATAAATTTTTATGTATGAATATAATTTTTTTTTTATTTCCACCATTATATCTAGATTAGATTAATTTAATATAGATATATTTAATAAGTATAAGATTTGTACAAAAAACTTTAAAAAAAAATCCATTGAATACAACAAAATAAGATAATATATTGATTTTTTTTGTATTTTTCTATTTTTTTGTATTTGGTGAATTTTAAAAAATACAAAATATTATATTTCTTAAGTATATTTAGATTAGGTGTATCTAAAAAATAAAAATAGCTTAACATATTAAAAAAATTTAGTAAAAAATAAAAAATAAATAAAACTCAAATTTTTGTGTGAGTTAAACAAAAGAAGATAATTGTTATTTCCCTTAAAATGACATGAATAAAATATCTGCATTATTTTATTATTTTATATGTATTGATGATGCGGTAATTCCAATGGAAGATAGGTCGGACTGATCCACACTTCTAATGGCTTTGCTCGTCTTGAAGCCCATGGGATGTGCCTACAAAAAGGTCCAAAGAGGGAGGTAATCCCCCCGGCGGACCCTCCGGCAATCGAGTTAGAATAGGATAGATTGATTGTGTAGAAAGAGAAAAAGGGAACGAAAAACTTAACCTTTAATGCGTGTCAGAAGCTTCCTTATATTCTTCACTCATCATTTCCTTGTCCACTCCAGACTGTTGTGTTGGCCGAAAATCTATATTCTAGCTTGCATTGATCATGGTGAGTATGTATATTCTGACGTGAAGGGGTTGTCATATTTAATACTGTGAGAGCCTCATTAATGGTAGATATATGAGTGTAATAACTTTGCAGGATCTTTGTCTGCTTATGTGGCTAGGCCTCTGCTTGACAAGTGTTTGAATGCTATTGGTCTTGGTCCATCACTGATTTTTCAAGATTACTGGGCTATATTATCTAGTCCGTGGGATAGGTCCTGAGTCGTGGGCCGAACCCTCTTGTGGACCCACCGATATTAGTAGTTCTTCATTCCCAAGTGCAGCTTTAGTCCAACGAAAGGAATAGGTAAGGAGCCGATCGTAAGGAGGGCTGACCGTGAAGGTGGCCGAGCGGGATGACCGATCGTAAGGACAGCCAAACGCGAAGGGGGGTTGAGCGGGATAACCGATCGTAAGAAGAGCCAACCGTAAAAGGGGCCGAGCGAGATAACCGATCGTAAGGTGGGTCGAACGCAAAGCGAGGCCGAGTGGGATGACCGATCGTAAGGAGAGCCAACCGTGAAAGGGGCCGAACGGGATGACCGATCGTAAGGTGGACCGAACGCGAAGGGGGGCCGAGTGGGATGACCGATCGTGAGGAGAGCCAACCGTGAAGGGGGCCCAGTAGGATGACCGATCATAAGGTGGGTTGAACGCGAAAGGGGGCCGAGCGGGATGACCGATCGTGAGGAGGGCCGACCGCAAAAGTGAGGCGAGCGGGATGACCGATCGTGAGGAGGGCCGACCGCAAAAGTGAGGCGAGCGGGATGACCGATCGTGAGGAGGGCCGACCGCAAAAGTGAGGCGAGCGGGATGACCGATCGTGAGGAGGGCCGACCGCAAAAGTGAGGCGAGCGGGATGACCGATCGTGAGGAGGGCCGACCGCAAAAGTGAGGCGAGCGGGATGACCGATCGTGAGGAGGGCCGACCGCAAAAGTGAGGCGAGCGGGATGACCGATCGTGAGGAGGGCCGACCGCAAAAGTGAGGCGAGCGGGATGACCGATCGTGAGGAGGGCCGACCGCAAAAGTGAGGCGAGCGGGATGACCGATCGTGAGGAGGGCCGACCGCAAAAGTGAGGCGAGCGGGATGACCGATCGTGAGGAGGGCCGACCGCAAAAGTGAGGCGAGCGGGATGACCGATCGTGAGGAGGGCCGACCGCAAAAGTGAGGCGAGCGGGATGACCGATCGTGAGGAGGGCCGACCGCAAAAGTGAGGCGAGCGGGATGACCGATCGTGAGGAGGGCCGACCGCAAAAGTGAGGCGAGCGGGATGACCGATCGTGAGGAGGGCCGACCGCAAAAGTGAGGCGAGCGGGATGACCGATCGTGAGGAGGGCCGACCGCAAAAGTGAGGCGAGCGGGATGACCGATCGTGAGGAGGGCCGACCGCAAAAGTGAGGCGAGCGGGATGACCGATCGTGAGGAGGGCCGACCGCAAAAGTGAGGCGAGCGGGATGACCGATCGTGAGGAGGGCCGACCGCAAAAGTGAGGCGAGCGGGATGACCGATCGTGAGGAGGGCCGACCGCAAAAGTGAGGCGAGCGGGATGACCGATCGTGAGGAGGGCCGACCGCAAAAGTGAGGCGAGCGGGATGACCGATCGTGAGAAGGGCCAATCACGAAGGTGGCCAAGCGGGATGACCGATCGTGAGGAGAGCCGAAGAGGCAGTGACGGCGCATGGGGCTCTAGGAGCGATGAAGCAAGTGATGATGTGAAGTGGAATAGACAGGGGAGAGGAAAGAGGAGGCGAATGGCATGAGGAGGGTGCGCATGAGTTGGAAAGTTCC